CTTTTCCATGAAATGACAAGGGATTCACTTATCAAATATCAATTTAGTACTATTACTGGACATTAGGACTAAGGCTAAAAGGATGACTAAGACAAGATCCCTGCCTTCCATGGAGGGAAATGAGATCAAATAATGAACAACGTGATGAGTTCTTAAAAAAAAAAAAATGATGAGTCATCAAGGACACCAAGAAGGAAGAAAATCTGTTTTATTGGCCAGAAAAGTGTGAGTGGAGGCTTGAGTGGTGTGTGGAACTTCTGCAGACAGACGAGAGGGGAAGCACATAGGAGCGAGCACTGGGAAGCTGTGTGCTGGGGAACACTGTGAAACTACATCAGGAAGGTGGCCAGGGGACAGATCAGGAAGGGCTTTTGATACAGTGTTAAGTAGCTTTTACCGTAACCAACGACCTGAAACCTCAGTGGCATCCAACAAATAGCACACGTTTCTCACTCATGACTGCAGAGGGACTGGGCTGACTGTGCCCTTCTTGTCTCTCAGCCTCTCTGGGACCCTCCCAGGACCAGTGGCTTAGTCTGGGAGTGTTCTCTTCATATTACTGGTAGAAATTCAGGAGGAAAGCAGGAGCATGGAAGACCTCTTAAATTCAAGCTTGGAACTAGCCTGCTCTTCCTTCCCTGGCTTCTGTTAGCCAAAGCAAGTCACTTGGCTGATCCCAAATCAGAGGCAGGCATACAGCCTCCACCCTTTGGTGGGAAGGACTGTGAGGTCACATGCCAAAGGACTGGAATGGGATGTGTAGGAGTTGTGGCTGGTGGTGCAGTCTGCTGCAAATTCTCTCTTGAAAATGCTGGGCTTCAGGTACCTGTGGGTTAGTCTGAAACATAGAGGGAAAATCGTATCACTCAAAATAGAAGTCTGGCTTTAGGTGATGGACCAGGAGTCCCAAGACCCCAAACATGCACACTGCAGGCCCCATCCCACATCCACTGGTTCAGAATCTCTGGAGTGAGCCGGGGAATCCACATTGTAACTAGTTCCCCAGATGATGACTCATGTTCACCAAAGTGTGAGACCCACTGGAAAGTAAATGACAAAACAGAGAAAAAGACCAGGAAGGAAGTCCCAAAAGGAAAAGTGTGAAAAGGAGAAATGGCTTTCACAAAGAGTACTAGGAAGAGTGGGAAGAGGGATAAGAGAAAACCAAAGAAGTGTTTCCCAGACACTAGAAAGGAGAAGCTGCGAACTTGAGTGTGTGTAATTGTGTCACTCGCTTCCCACATGTTGAGTAGGAAGAGGAAGAAACAAAGTCTTGTACGTTTTGTAATAAGGAAATATTTTATGACCAGGACACTATACTGATTCCAGGAGTATCATTATACCTGTTCTGCAGATGAAAAAACAGGACATAAAATAAAATGAAAGCTCCCATGTCTTCCATTTCTTCTTTAATGGGTCTTATATTATCTTAATGAAATGGATTAAATCCACATTTAACCTGATAGGTCAACTAAAAAGTCAGTCTCTGGCTTATTGTTAAAAAAAGAAAAATGACATTTTTTTATGTTCATTGATTCCCATATCATGCCAGATATCACTAATTACATACTACAAAGAGGCTATTTCCAATAACTGTTTGTCTTCTTCATTATTTATATTGTTAGTCTTCTTGTCAAAGGATGTCAAAGAGTATATCTAATGCTTGGGTTTCCAAGAGATTCTAACACACAGCACCCCTAATCACTTGTCATACACTATTTCTGAATGCCAGGACCCAAGATCCAGTCACTAGAGAGTGGATGTTGGGGACAGCTTGGGATGCACTCTATTAACCAGGAAAGCCTCAGATTAAGAGGCTCTCATATTGGGTTATCAAGGTAATTGACCTTATCCCTCTCTGCTTCTCTTGCCACACCTTGATTTAAATATAGTTTGCTAAAATGTACTTGATCATTTTAAAAATATTACATCCAAGTTCTATTTCAAAGAAATATCTTGTCGCCTTATTGGGGGTAGAGGGTTGCAATGTGGAAATGTGAAAGCATCCACCAGTGCCCTCCCCCAACACTGAAGAAAGCCCTAAACCAGATCCAACCACAGAGTAGGGGCAGAAGAAAAGGCTGAGAGGCTCTCCATTGAGACCAAGAACCTCAGTGAACTTGAGCCTGGACCAGTGATAAACCAACGAGTGTCTGCTGCTTGAAGCAACGGCCAAAACCAGTACTGACTGTGCTGGTTCAGGTTTATCTCTGCTGGGTCTTTCCTCCGAGCATTTAAGTGGGATCTCAAATGACTGGTGAACATTACGCAGCAGGCAAGTCAGCGGCTCTACAACATCTTCTATTGATTAAATTCTAGCAAATTCTATTGATTAAAATTCTATTGTAGACCTAAAGTATTTCAGTTTCAGACTCTCAAAAAGGGAAAGCTATCTGAGCAGAAATATAATGCGTCTGAAAAACATGCCCATAAACCTATACTTTTGTTCTTTCTCCTCTGGGCTTTGCAGATTAAACACACACAAACCTACACACATACACACACCACACACACACACACACAGAGCTGGGTTGATAAGCAAATCTTGCCGAAGTCATCCACACTTAAGTGCAGATAAGTGAAAAGTTACCATTAATTATATTTGATTTTGAAAGTTAACAAGAATAATCTACCAGACCTTCATCTTTCCTTGCTGTACATCACTGTGGAGTTTGGGAAGAGAGGACCATGGCTGTCATATCAGGCAGTAAAAGGTAGTGGTTGCAAACGTGGCTCAAGGTACAAGGCTGCATGGGTTAAAATCCTGGCTCTGCTGGATCTGATCATAGACCTCAGGCAATTTACCAGATCTTTCTGTGCCTCGGTTTTTTGAAATATGAAATGGAGGCTCCCCCTCCTCAGGGTCTTGTGAGGATTGCAGAGTTATGACAAAGAACATGCTTAGATGGATGCCTGGGACGCAGAGAAAGCCCAATAATTGTGAACTCTTGTTAATGTTTCCAGAAGCCTCAAAATAACTTACAAAAGATGCTAATTGTTCCCCTGCCATAAGGTTTTGAAACCTCCAGAGTTGGGGGATGTCAAAAGTTAGGTCCCAATGCTTAGGCAGTGAGACCCCTGCTGGCCAAAAATGTTACTGCTAAGGCAAACCCTGCTGAACTCTGAAGCACTGGGGGCTAACAGATTTGTGTTAGTTAAGGACACCTCTCAGGATCAAGTTTAACCTGGCAACAAAGCTTAAGAAACACATTTAATGTAAAGCTTCCATCTTGCTGAGACAGGAGAGGAGAGCCGTGTAGGAGCCTGTGTGAAACCATGTTTCTCCCCTAGAAGTTCATTCTGCCTGCTTGACAAACCAGACTAGTCATCTGGTCAGAGTTAAATTTTACTAAAACATAGACTCTTCTCTATAAGTTAACTATGCTTCAATAAAAATAAATACATATAAATTAATTTTTAAAAATAGACCTCTTTTCCTCTAGGTGTTATCTGGTTCCAACTTTGCTCTCTGAATATTCGGATCTGAGGTTGAGTCTAAAAAATCTGACGACTCCTGAAAAAAAGAAGATGAAGGAGGAACAGAAAAACCCTCTCCTAACTTGATTTTTTG